GAAAAATCAGAATTAAAAAAAAAGACGAAATATAAAAGATAAACAAGAGAGACGAACACAATGCAGCTCGCCTCACTCCCGGAGGCTTAAGAGTGTTCGAATTCCTGGCCGGCATTCCCGACTGATTACGGTTTTCCCGAATTTCCCCGGGGCGGTCCGGACCTCTCGCGTTAAAGAGCAGAGCGCCTGGCCGCGGCGTCTTTTTCTTCGTCGTGCGTCGGCCGCGCGCCCATTCACTGGCGGCGGGAAGGTTCCGCGACCACCGCGACTGCAAAAAATCGACACGGCGCACACCTAACCCGCGCCGACGCCCAGGCTGACAACCCCGGATGCAACAGCCCCGACAGAAAACGCCGGCTGGACGGGAGAAACGCACGCTCGTTGGTTGCTACAGGGAGCACAATTTTTAAGGGTGAAATGTAAGGCCGAATACAAATCCCTCATTAGGTTTAAATCACTCTGATCTCTAAAATATGGAAAATTTCAAATAGGGTTAATATTATAATTAATAATATATAATTAATGTAATTATAAATTAATTTATAACTAATACCAACAAGATTTCTTTATTAATAACAGCCCACATTTTGCGCGAAGTACTGTAAAGGGATCGACGTTCCTTGATCTGCTCCCTAGGAAGCTATTTGCAACCCGGAGTAGGTTTTATACTCAACCGACTTATAACATTTTTAGTCGTGAATTAGAGGAGTAATAGAAGTAATAACAAAAATAAAATAATAATTATTATTATTATTATTATTATTATTATTATTATTATTATTATAACTAATAAAAAGAAGAATAAGAATAATTCATGAGAACCCATATGAAAGAAATGATATGAACGACACGAAGAAACAGAGTACAGCTATGAAGAAACTGTGAGAACAGAACGTGTATTACCTAATAAAATTAAGTGTCAAATTCTCTAAGTTCTATAATAGTGAAACAAGGTACCTTGTACTGAGCGTGGTCATGACATTCCCATCTAAGTAGAAACAAAATGAATTGGGTTTCTCCACACCCTTCATTGAAGGAAGTTCAATGACTCATTCCCCGTGAAAGCTGTTCCCCGCAATTTCAAATGAATGAACAAACGACTACCTTCGAGGAATTTCGTACATCAACGTTCCTTTGGTACACGAATGTATCCAGGTAGATTTTTTGCACACTACTTCCTAATGCAAAGCACAATGACGCGTACCCTCAAAATTTCTCGGAAACCATCACGTCACCAAGCATTCACGCACTTATCTACTCCATTTACATTTCATGCTCTCTCCTTTCCCGGCGTTTGGAAAGGAGGCATTAGTTTAAATTAATGGCATCCTTCTTACCATTATCTTGCCTAGTTCTTGAACTTGTAACCCTCTGCGATTTCATTCCATTGCTATTAAAATATAATTGGGCTTGTAAACTGAAAATTGTTTTCAATATCGTCAAATCATTTATCTTAATTTACAATTTATTGATCTAGAAAAGATTTGCAAGTATTTTCACATTTATTGCTTGTTATATACAACAAATACTATTTGAGTTGAATTAATACGTTTGTTGATAGAATTAAATACTTTGATGGTGGCACCCCGGGTTTCTCGTGCCCTCTACTTTCACCACTACTCTCTTCCCCTCTCATTCTGCCCATCCTCCCTCACGGTAACGAATTGCGGAGAGGAGCGCACAGCAATCATGACTCACGCAGTACCGCCATAAACTCTTTTCTTATTTCATTTTTCAACATTTTTATTTGAATAAAATAATTAAAAATAAGTATTATAATAATTATTCTAAAAATAAAGAATCGTGACGCAGAATATAACGAATGTGTTGAAACTACTACATATTGTCTGTTATTAATAATAGACCCATAATTCAAGGAAAAACTGACATTGTTACATTGAACTCAATGACCGTAATGACCCTCCTCTCCAAATTGAATGTCGATTGATTGATTCCGGGCGCGCCAACTGCTAAGTTCATTATTCCCGTAAGTGTAGATCATGTTCGTATCGTGGGAAGAGACCGTGATCTTCGCCCGTGGGATGGCGAGAGCCGGCATCGACTTGCGCATCGGCTTGCTGGTTGTTTCACCAACCAAGTTTCCCACCATAGCAAGTCATGACCCAACCGGGACATGCTCTGAGCTCCCGACTAGTCTTCCGGCATGTGTGATAGTGTAGCGCATGTAAGTGTAAGCGTGTGTAAGTAAGCCAATGGATGGGACAAGGAAGAGGAAGGAAAGATCGCGCGCGGTCCGAGGCCCGGGCATTAGCCTGGCGTTAATCAGAGAAACCCCGGAAATCTACCGACCCGGCCGCTAGAATTCTCCTCCAGAATTCGTTCTAGCTATGTACCTAGTGAGGCAAATCCTGCCGCCGCGCCGTCAGGACTCGAACCCTGGGACCCCCCGATCAGAGTCTGTGCAGTGACATGAGCCACCTAAGTCGGTAATCGAACGTCTAGATCCCCTTCCACCGCCCCTCCCATCTGCCACGCAACGACGTCACCGAGGCCCACCCGCCTTCCACGAAGAGGAAACGCGTGGCTCTCGCGCGGCGCGGCGACGGTTGGCCGTCGAGGGCGGTCGCGGGCGAGCGGGCGGGCGCGCCTAAAAACGCTGCTGCGGCGGAGGCGTCACGCTTAGTGGGCGCCCTCCCCCTGCCCCTACTCCTCCACCTCCTCCTTCGCCTTCTTCCTCCTGCGCTGCTGCCGCCAGGCGTTCCAGTTCAGTAGAAAGTCCGCTCCGCCGCCGCCGCCACCGCCCGGCCGAGGGGAAATGCCTACGTTTTCTCGGCCTTTTTCCATCTGCCTTCCATCGCTGTGGGCGCCCTCGTGTACTCTTGCGGTGTCGCGAGATGTTGTGTGACTGAAAGTCCAGAACCACTGCCCAGAGCTGTATTTTGCTCTCGTTGTTTTTTGTTGGTCTTTTGGGGGTTCACGTACGTTGTTTTTTGCCACTTTTTTTTTCTCGCGGGACAATTTCCTTTCTTAATGTACCTCTGAGAAGTGTTGGTGGAACCTTGATCTTCAAGAGTGCCCATGGACTACACAGGTGGGGTTGTTTCAGGGGAGAGAGAGAGAACAGGTGGTAAGCAGGTGATTGGTTACTTCCTAAGAGCAGCAGGGAGCCGTTGAAGAGGGCATTGTGTCAGGTGTAACGAATGGGAAAACTGGGAAATACGTGAGTACGAGAGGGAACGTCTTATGTGGGGGATTGCGACGATACAGAGTAGTTATGTGGCCTAAGGTGTGAGACCCTTCTAGTGCGAGTACTGTACAATTCCCGGATGTAAGAATACTTGTTGCCAGCTTCCCACAGCTTTTCTGCGAATATGTAGGTGTTATCTATTCGATGTGAGTGAATGTTGGGAAAGTCTACGACAAGGACTAGATCATCGACGCAGAAAGAGATAACGTCACTATGTTCCGGACTTATACATGGTTCGTGTTCTTTATAGGCAACCCTTCAGCAATCCAAGGCTTCACATAAACTACAATCAACAATCGTTTGTAGATACTGCATTACTTTAGAGTTCTATGAGTTAGTTCTATGAGTCATGTATCTTGGTATTACTAGCATTTCAAAGTTCTAGAAAAGAATAATTGGGCCGCAATTAAAGAATAATTTTAAAAAATTACACTTTCTTGTTTTAATTTCTGTACTGCTCGGTGACTTCATTGTACGAAAATACGAATTGATTTTAATAGTTCCTTATTATACGTTTCTTTTTACTTTCATTTCTTTTTGTGGTTCTTCTTTGGTGGCTTTTTGTGGTTCTTTTGTGGTTGTTCATTTCTTCTTTTCAACGATGGTTTGTGTTGAAGTGTAATAAATTTCTTAATGTAACGGAGAGACATTTTACGTGCCAAATTGCTTATTAACGTTTTTCATTCTTTCTTGTAAAATTAGAGTGAAAAACATTATTATTCATGCGTTTTATGAATTTTGTTCAATAAATAAAATCCCCACGACGTTTCTATCTGACGTAGCTGGGAACATTGCGTCGGTTGGAGGTAGAAAGCGCAGAATTCACACAGAAGGCAAGAGGAAAGTGACGATTTGACGCCTTGGGTATCAGCTGGTCTCTCAGCCTCTGAATGTAAAGACGTTCATCAGAAGACGACCAGATGTTCACCAGGAAAACTGTTAATTATTACTTGCATATCAGAGTTGTTTCACCATCCGTTCTCTTGAGAATTTACGCCCAACGCAGGTGCCACATGAATGTGGCAACTATGTAACCTATTAAACGCGGGTTCAAACATCTCAGGTTTGAGTTGGTGCACCTTAGGTGTATAAAAGGATGAAGATTGCATAAAAATAAGAAAATGTTTTTTTGGAGGCGAATGTAAACATAACGCACATGTGAGGACACACAACATTTGGGTAGTATGAAGTAGGTGGAGTACATCTTCGCAAAACTATTGAGATTACCGCCCACTTGCAATAATTTGCGAGAGAAATCTCTTTTGGTCAACGCAAGGGCGTTTCAAATAATGATGTAGCAACTTTCTCGGGAAATCTACACGCATTCACACGAGATAATTTTCTCACAGGTTATAGCTAGTGACGGCGAATCTAGTTCTTGAGACACTTTCGAAGGGGAGGGGGGACATTTTGCTGGTTGGCCGTCAGCTGGGCATTGAGAGTGTCAAGTCACGAGCATTGAGAGTGCCAACTGACCAGCTAAGTGTCCAGGAGCTATTGATATGTGATTACTATTGATACTGCCACCCACTAGCAATACTTTCCGAGAGAAGAAGAATCCGTTTGTAAACGCGTGTTTCCGGTGAACCTATTAATGAAGAGTGTCTTGCAAACTCGGGACATGTTCACATACAGAGACATCTTTCTCACAGATTATAGCTAGCGACGGCGAATTCTTCTTAGGACACTGTAACAGGGGAGGGGGCTCATTTTTCTTGTTGGGCTGGGCATGAGGGGAAAGCCATCAGCTGATGGCCGGATGCGAGCGGCGGGTAGCGCGCCACCAACTCACCAAGTAGCAATCCAGGGGCTTCTCGCGCGCTTTGCTGTACGCGCGTTGCAACTCGGTCGCCCTGAGGGCGTGCGCGATGTGCAGCGCGCTGGCATCGAAGCGGCCGTACTGGTAAGCCGCCGCCCCCGCCGCCGCCGCCCGCCGTCCGCCGCGCAACCGCCGCCGCCACCGCGCCGCCGCCGGGTGCGGCGCCGCGCCGGGCGCTGGCCCCGGAGCCCGGCGGGCGGGCGGCGCGCCGCCGTCCCGTGCCCGTTCAGGTGCGGTCGGATGCCCAGCGCGTCCGCGTCGAAGGTCCGCGCAGGCCGCTGCCGCGGATCTCCGCTCGTTGTACAGTTCCCGAGCGGGGCACGTTGAGCGCGCACCGAATGCCCACCGCCGACCGTCCAGGTGGCCCGGCCCGATCTTGGCACGTGGCTGCTGCAGTACACCTCCTTGTCCTCCTGGCGGTGCTGGTTGTTGTAGTACGTCTTGAGGGTGAGCTTGGTGCGCAGACGGCGCACTTGAAGCAGCCGCTGTGGAAGAACGTGAAGTCCCTTGAGCGGCCCGACGCGGTCCACCTGTAGACAGTGTGGCCGCAGCGCAGGCAGGTGCTCTCGTAGAAGTTGAGGCGGTACATGGCGAAGCCGGGGCGTGTGCGGCGTCGGGCCGCGGCGACGCCACTCTGTCGCGTGACACACGCGGCACTCTCCCGTGGGGGGGGGGCACTCGATTCGGATCGACTCCACGCGACCACACGCGCACTCACTGGGAAGGGGGCGGTTGACGGGGCGGGGTCAGCGCGCGGCGCGAACGCCGGTCCGCCGGGACGCGGCCATGCTCGGACTGCGGCGGCGGTGGCGGCCGCGGCCTCAGCGCCGTCGCCCCCGCTCCCGCCCCGCCCCGCCCCGCCCCGCCCCGCTGCGGCGCCCGCGCTCTCCCCGCCCCCGCGCAGCAGAGCGTACCACTGCCGCGCTGCGCGGCGCTGGCGTCGTATACACCTGGCTGCGTCCGCGCCCCGCCACCGCCTCTCGGCTAACGGGCCGCACCGGCGCGGCAGGCGGCGGCCGGCGATGCGTGGCGGTGGCGGCGCGGCGGTGGCGACGGCGTCGGCAACGATGACGAGGGAGCGGCGGCGGCGGCGGCGGCAAGCCAAAGGCAACGTCGGGTGGAGCGGTGGCCCTCGGGCGCGCTCGATGCCCCGGCATCGCCGTCCCCCTCGCCGCCGCCGCGCGCCGTCGCCCCCGGGGGTCGCGCCGCGCCGCGCATTCCAGTCTCTGGATTGAGGATTCAGGAAGAGGAAGCGCGCGCGGCGGCGCAATGGATGAGCCGCCCCAGAGGCCTCTCCTCACCAAACAACGTGGCAGATACGCGTGCTCGCCGGAGAAACCACCGGGACAGGTGGCTCACGGCATAAACTGATGTCACTGCAGTGCCCCTGACCGGGAGGTCCTGGGGTTCGAACCCCGACGGTGGCAGGATTTTCCCCCATAGATCGACTTCTGTCTCTGTCTGGGGGAAAATTCTACCTGCCGGCTGCTCTGATCGGTAGTTTTACGTGGTGTATTCTATCAATACCTGGCGAATGCCGGAGCAGTCTTCTAACAAACGGGCTCTGGACCGCGTGCGGTCTTTCTTTCCCATTCCTTGTCCTATACTATCCCGTACACACACACATGCACTTCACAACCACACATGCCACGAGCCTGGTCGGCAGCCTAGAGCGTGTCCCGGCTGGCACGATGCTCCTCTGGTGAGAGATACCTGGCTGGGGAAAGCCCGCTAGCCGACGGTAGGTCGGCGCCGAATCTCGCCATCCAGTGCGTTCAAATTTACAGCCATTTCCCGAGCAAACATCATCTGCTGCACTTACCGGACTAATGACCATAGCCGTTTACGTTCCCGGAATCATTAGTAATTAATCAATCAAGCGGAGAAACCCTGTTCTCTCAGAATAAAGGTGGCATAATACCCAGCGCACCGGTTGGGATCGTGATCGACCACGGGCTGATTCGTGTGGAATTTGCTTTTTCTCAAACCAAACTGGGCAAGTTTTCCCATGCTTCCCCCGCACATGTTCCTATTGCTCAATCATCGTCGAACTCATAATCATGATCATAATCATCTAATCCTCAGATCATCACTACGGACCGAATTTCAATAAAAAGGCATATTTTTCTCACTTGATACAAGAATGCTTGAGGCAAGTATGCTTAATTTTTACACGCAGGAAACACCCACTTTTCAATTATTTAAACATACTTTTAGGATTCAGTTCTTGCATAGTTTTCTTGTTTTCTTATTAAGCATCATATATCTGTAAAATAATACTGCGTGATTTACTTCAAAATGAATGTTCTTGCCTAAACATTGTAACATTTGAATAAGGGTATATCATACATTTTATAGTGCATATTTTCTAGCTTTTTACAGCATAAATGGATACATATTTCAAAGAGAATTAATGCATATAATGTTATAAGATCCTTAATCATCACTCGTACGTTTCAATGACCTTAGAAGTTCATTGTACCCTAGTTTATAACTATAATAAGAAGGATTTGGAAACAAAGTTGAAATATTATTTTTTCTTGAATGGGGTGTTATTTTTATTATATTTACTTCCAGAATTTTCAAACGATGAACAATTTTCCCTCCAAACTACTCTATCGGAGACGTTTAGTCGGGTGAATACCATCCTCTCAGACTCTTCTCTGAGTCCACATTCGCATATCTCCCTCTCAATAATCAGAAGAAGACAGAAGACTGGCGATCCCAGAATTAGAGGTGGAGTGATGTCAAAAATATTATTGAGGGTTCTCAAATTAGTGTCTACTTTAAAAGTGTTCAACCTCGTTCAACACAAACAGAGCGTTCACGAAGAGCAGTCTACAGAATTCAAAATGCGTTGCAATTGCAATAGTTTATTAAATACTGGTACTTTGGTGTAAAACACTTCCTAGAATGAATGACAAATTCAGTTAACTCCTTAGATACGCAACTCAGTAGGCATGGAGACAGATAACTTCAATGAGATTAACAAGAGGCAAAAATGAATATAATTGATGTTTTATTGAGCGTGTTTTGTTTTATACCTTTCGTATAATTACGTATTGGAGTATATCGAGTAATTTACGTAGTGTAGAGAACGATATGTGTTGCTGCGGAAAATCGATTTCGAAATCGAATTTTATCGTAAGTCAAGTATAAGTGTTATTGCACCCTGATTCCCCTCATACCGTGTTTTTCCTATCTTTTCTGTCTGCGCTGTATTTCCTGCCTGCATGTCCTATCCGACTGTCCTGCCTCTCCTGTCAGTCTGTCCTGCCAGTATACATATACTTTATGTCATGTCTGTCTGTACTGTGTCATATGTCTTGTCTGTGTATATGGGTCCTGTCTGTCTGACGGTCGTCTCTGTCTGGTGGTTCTGTCTGTCTGACGGTTCTGTTCGTCAGAAGGTTCTGTATGTCTGACATTTTATCTGTCGGTCCTGTCTGTCTGACTGCCTGTCTGTCTGAATACCCAGTATGTGTGACTGTCACGTCAATCTAAATGTCCCGTCAGTCCGACTGTCCCGTCTGGTCTGGCTGTCCCGTCGGTCTGGCTGTCCCGTCGGTCTGGCTGTCCCGTCGGTCTGGCTGTCCCGTCGGTCTGGCTGTCATATCTGTTCTATCCTGTCTGCTGACTTGTCTGACATGTCCTGTCCCCACTATTCTGTCTGGCATATCTTCCACGATTAACAAGTCTGGTGTTTCCTGTCCGGTCTGCCCTCTCCGATCTGTCCTGTCTGGTTTGATCTGTCCGGTCTGTTTCGTCTGGTATGTTCTGTCCGGTCATTACTGTTCGGTCTGTCCTGCCTACTCTGTCCTGTATTGACTGTCCTGTCTAGTCTGCTCTTCTCAGATCTGTCCCATTTAATCTCCTGTCTGCTCTGCCCCGTCTTGTCTGTGCAGTCTGGTCTGTGCCGTGTGATCTGGTCTGTCCCGTGTGGTCTGATGTGTCCCGTGTGGTCTGATGTGTCCCATGTGGTCTGGTCTGTCCCGTGTGGTCTGGTTTGTCCCGAGGTCGCGAGTGGGACAAAATCATCTAGTAACGCCCGTGGTATATACAAACCTTATGGTTGCAGAATCAAATGAGAATTCGAAACATTTTATAATTTGTATAGCGTCTAAAGTGCAAGGACGCATTGTAATCGTCATTTTTCAATATGACATCAGATAAACGAAAAAGAATGTGTATCTAATTACTATTGTATACTCGTTGTTGGACTGATTTGTTTGTACAAAATGAAAGAATGTTGTGAAGTCCTGCGGAAATTAGAAGCTAACAAGATACGGATGGTGTTTTCTAGTAAAATCTCTAGAAATACTTTTAGGTTATTTCCCTCTATCGCCAAAAGTTATTTACAATATTTCATAAATTCATAAAACATTTCGAGGATATTAGCCGATGTGTCTTACACATTTTATAGTAGTACTACTACCCAAGAAGCATATATGAATTTATCACTAAAAAATGTGATACGTCAGAGTGAAATATGAGTGACTAGTTGTAATTATAAATGCAAGGAAACAATTCAAAATTGCAATTTTCATATCAATTAAGCAAAATATGGTATATAAAGAGTTATTTTACTCACGGATTTTACTTTCGTATTCGAGTGTTATGCCATTTATTTTAAGTATTTATTTATTTACTTATTTATTATATTTGACTTCGAGTAGAATTCATAAAAATGTTGAACGTACTGTGTTGATATAAGAGTGGGTCATAAAGTACTCAAAAGACCCTCGGGAATAAAGAGTCTGAAAGGCACGGAAGAGTATTAACAATGCCGTTACGTGTTTTGTTTCAGGTCCTTAAGCACACAAAAATGAACTAGTAAACTATAAAATATATTACATAGGACCAGTAAAGCAACAGCTGACTATTAAAATCCTTTTCGTACGACGCCCGTTGAGTGGGTGAAGACTGTTCCTCTGGTCGTGTCAAGTTTATGGGATAACAATACAATATTATGAAAAGTATAGTTCATAGGACCAGTAATGCAACAGCGGACTGTTAAAATCCCTTAGATTTATTCAGTCAAAAAAAAAAGTAAATACCGTATGTGACGTAGGAGGGAAAATTATCTGTGCACGTTTTCTTGAGTTCCAGAATCTCTTCCCGTCATTTTTATTATAAATAGTTGGAAGATGAGTAAACGTTTAACATAAATCAATAAAAATAAATTTTAAAAATCGCAAGATTAGCAATATTTGAAAAATAGGATGATCTTACGGACGATGACCGTTTAAATCTTTATAATAGTACTTAGGGCAAAATACACAAAGAGTACAGTAATGCTCAAAAACACCTCATCACCTTTCTCACAGTTGTGATTTGCATTGTAATCCTGAAAATACACCAGTTGATTTGCAAAAATCCAGCGAGTTATGAAGTAATGGAATCAGAAACATCATATAATCTACATAAAATATATGATTACCAGTTTCTACTAATATTTGTCAAAATTTCCTGAAAGCAGATTGGATTAGGAAAATACAGAATGTCCATTTTCTCCAGGTGATGCGGTTTCTTTGAGCACTACTGTAGAGGAGACCAATGATGCAACAGAGGCGGATCTAGACTCATCGCGTGCGGCGGAGAAGCGAACCTGCTACCGCCCTTCCGCTCTGCGCAGAAGCTGCGCAGAAGCGGCGGCGGCGGCGGCGGCGACGGACGGCGAAACCGGAAGCGGGAACGAGGGCGGCGGGGGCGGGGCGGCGGTTCCGCCTCGCAGGCCGCGCCACCGCCGCCGTCGCCGTCGCGGAAGGATCTCTGGCTTGGAGTCGTGCACGCTGTCACTTTTAGTTGACTCCAGACAGCGGCCATCTTCTTGCCTAGGGAAATTCGAAGGTGCTCCTCGGAGGGTAAAGGGAGTTTAATCATGAAAGTGAGTTTGGAAAGAAAAGGGAAGTAAAATTTTGCGTGATCATTTTTTTAAAATTTAATTTATTTTAGATCACTGTGCGGTCCGTGGTTAGAAGCGATCACAACCTCATTTACAACTTCGCATTAATATTTACACATTTCATTACATTACATTGCGTGATCATGGTAAGCAGAGCATGTATAGAAAATAAAAAGTCTAGTACATTTTAATAGTGGATTGTGGATAAATAGTGAAATTTTAAGTTATGAATAACTCAGTATGTTTCCTAAGCAACAAAACACCATCGTAAAAATGACGAAATTCGCTTTCCCAAACTCCATGGAATTAGGTAGCTGCCCATAGGTTTGTCTGCACGTAATGTACACCGTCACGCTTACGTGACCATGACAGATTTGCCCAAGAAAGAACGTTATGTATAGATTGGATACATGGGCACAATCAAGACGGTTAGTTTGTTTGTTTTTTTTCTTCAGATTATGCTAGACTAATAAGAAAACATTAGTGAAACCCGGCCATACGGTCTTGGAGTATTCTGATCACTAAAAGATATTGTACACTTTGAGGGCACAAGACACGAAAAATGATGTCTTTTCTGAACGAATTACAAAATAGTTGACCAAACATAACCATTTGACCATTTTGATTATTCAAATTGTGGTTATTCTTTGTTTTCGTTTGTTTAGGTATGCACCTGCCCCTCAGTCAACATTTTCGTCTGACTAGTGTCTTAAGATATTATAGATTTGATTCGTTGTGGTAGAATGATTGTGGAAAAAAGCACATATTATAGCTATTTCCTCTCAAACTATGCCTATATTGTCTAAACGCACGATATGTCAAATACATGTAAAAAAATGTAGAACATACTTATCGATAAATTACCAAAAAAGCCATCCGAAGCTGTTAACTGCCAAAGACTTCCAGGATATCTTCATCCGGCACTGATTTGAGGGGCGCAGAAACGATAGTTTTCTGGAAGAATGTAATGAACGTATTTATGTCCTAAATTCCTGACGAGAGATATTTGACTACGTTTCAGAGAACGTTTGAGTTAGGTCGGCTGGAATGAAAAGATAATTGGTAACTTTTCATTACTTTTTCTCTAATCTTAAAATTATATTTTTCATACATATTAAACAATTTTTAGGATAAGACTATTTTTTTTCATTTACCAAAAACTGACACGTACACTTCAAATCAAAGGGAAGGGTAGATATTCAACTAACTTTAACTCAACCATTCTAAAGCCTGCAGTTGATTTCCGTCTTTCGAACTGACCGTGTCGAAGGATATGTGCAACTACTGTCGTCTTCTAAGTAGTAAGATTTATTTTACCTACGTTGCCTTTGTATTATTATTGTGACAATTTTAATTTTATAGTTTTCTCCTTTTGAGACATTTAAAAACTAATGACCGCTCTTCACTTTTCATTTTTCATCAATCGTTTAAGAACACAGAATATTATTAGTGAACTTTCAGCTATATTGTAGCCTTGTCCTAAGGTGCTCTAATCTTTACCAAACTCCAATTATTCATTATCACAGCGCTTACAGTTTTGACGTTAAAAAAGTAGGCCTAGCGGAAGAAGGAGACGACAAAACGAGTTCCAAGTGTTGCGGCACGTATACAGAAACTAAGGCATTCAATAAATAGAAAAATACGAAATTACATTTTCATTTATCCCCGTTGTATTTATTGTTCAAATTAGCTATCTTATCCTTTACAGTAGTTGTCGACGCCGAACAAGCTTTCAAACCGAGCATTGTGCAGTGTGCTGCACTCTCTTGGTGAAATGAGTAACTTCGTGCACTACGCGTAAATTACCGGGAACTTTGAACAGTGCGACACAGTCGACTGTAACTAATAGTACATTTTAAACAATATTATTTTCGTAACATTTTATTTAAAAATAAACAATTGACTAGGGGTACATCATATTGCATGTAATAATAAAATATTATTTTACATTACTGCACTATATGTGTGTGAGCAGATATGTGGGTTCATTAAAATACATTAGGATGAAATCAATAATAAATATCTCCTTAGGTTTTATATTAAATTTCATTTCACATGTTTCATTGATTTATAACATTTAATTGCGTAATTTTTTTGAAAAAATATCCAATCGGTGATCTTCTTCGTTAAAAATTCCTCCGAAATATTTAAATTCATTACCTGCTTCCATTTATTGGTATATAATAACTTTTCTTCTCTCCCACTACCATATATTTCGTTTTGAGAAAATTTATAATTAAACCTGCCTTTTTGCATATTCTCGCAAGCTTCCGCATTATATGTCAAACTCATCATTGGACACATCTTTATTTTATTTTTATTTTGTATACAAAACAGGCAAACCCCCAATTATAATTAGGAGATTAATAGATTAGAAACATAAATTGAAATCTTTCAAAAGCAGTTTTTTTCTCATTACATCTAAATTTATAAATCAAGCAATTTAGATCTTTGTTAGCTCATCGATAACAAAATCGCCTGATCGTCGGCGAATAATAGTGTATGAAGGCAATCTTCATCAACGTGTATTTCCGTACCTCGACACATGATTTTAATGATGCAATGAATAGTTACAATTAATATTATGTTGAATTCATTACAGGGTTGCCAGATGACTTGGAGAGCCTCTTCCTCAAATGTAGATAAATTACTGAAATTGGCAGGTTAAAAAGACGGAGGAAATCGTGGTTGAAGGTATTTACGGAAATCGAATACTTGATTACGTAAGGTTACAGGGTCCCTTTAAATTCTTCAGGGAGGACAACTGGGTCCCCTTGCCTGCCGGTGTGCGCACTCCTACACCTGAATAAAAAGTAGCGGAGATCGCCGTGAGCTTTTTGAGGCCCACGGGTCGTGTTTTGGGAACCCCTGCGCTACGCCACTGGGCGAGGCTGACACGCGGAGAGAACCTCTCACGCTAGCAATGTTACGTAACGCATTCCCTGCTCAGCGTTCCCCATAAATCGTAGGTTTCACGCACGGGTGTACAGCGGACTCACCCAATGTTCGCATTTATTACGCAGTAGTTTCGCTTTTGAAAGACAAATTTCGACCAAACGAACATTTGCTCTTTGTAACGGTCACTAATGACCAGAGCGTTACTGGAGAATGAACAGAGAAATATGAATTGAGTGTTTTTAAATGCAAAGAGTAGTAAGTACCTTACATTCACGCCCTGTCCAGCTGTCATCTGTTACATGTGTCCTTTAACTAAAAATGCCCAGTGATTACAATTATTTATGGCACATTATGCTTTTGAGTTATAGCAGGATTTCCTGCAACTCTAACCTACAAGATGAGAACTCGGTAAATATACACTATTCCAAATAAATTTTCAGAAACATTTTCAACTGTTTTCGCAGTGAATAGTGATTGTACTGCTCTAGAACCTCCCTTATTTCATTAGTCGTAGAGAATGTCATATGCAATAACATGAAACGATATCTATGGAATTCTCGATTTTCCTTTTGGAGTACTCTTCTACTTTTCCTTTTGGGCGGTGTAATCGCACGGGTTCAGAAAGTAGATTAATAATAAGTTTACTTATTTATTTACTGAATTATTTGCTTATTTATTTATATATTTATTTATGTGCAAGTATATACTGTAATTGAATATAATTTATAGGGCGCATTACGCCCTGAGGAAGGTCGCAGAAACGTCGGCACCTTCGCCATGGACGCGGCGTTACCCGGACAGCCTAGTAAATACTGACTCCGGCCGCGGAAGCCTACGCTCTCAATGGAATATAATTGTCACCACACTGTCACTTAACAATGACACGCGGTGGCAAATCTTTGAACAATTTTAATTATTAAGAACATTTATTTACTTATTTATTTAGATTATAATTGCCACTTGAACGATTTCAAACTCTCTCCGGGGCTGCCTGTTGGAGACGGCGAGCCCTGAGCACCGTGTGAGCGGCGTGGGGCATCCGTGCGTCCTTAGAAGGCCACGGCCGGGCGGCGGCGAAGCGCTGCCTAGGCGGAGGCGTTGTGACGCTCGTATGCGCCACCACCACCGCCGCCGCCGCCACCACCGCCATTCCCGCGTGCTGCGAGGGGAACCAATCGATCAGCAGTGCTTCGTTGCGCCGTCGGTGGTCGCCCGCTGCTTTCGATTGCAACTGGGATTTTCGTAAGCAACGAGATTGAAACTTCTCTATCCTCCTTTCTAGCGCCGAGACCGTACCACTTGCTTGGTAAAATGGTTTAATGAGAATGGGCTCCGGACACCCTAATGCCCAAAACCTTAATAACTCGAATCACATTTTTTTTTTCATTTCTGTTTATTTTCCGTATATTGAGGATGAGTGAAACTAAAGTGAAACTCCAGGGCTAGATTCAAGTATTGCGGGACCTGCAAGTACCAAATCGTGTTGGAGCCCCCCTAAGAGAAAAACTCCTCCTGATTTATTTAAAAAAACTAATTACAAAAAGTAAAGTTTGTACAAATATAAATGAAAATTAACAAATTGATTATGGCGTTAGCTCTATGTTGTTTACTTAAGTACATTTTTAATTACGTATTTACAAATACGTTCAAATTTATCGCATATTTAAAACGCAATTTTTAACTTTTTAGTGCAGACATTTTATGACATTTTTTCGAATATTTTTTAATTGTTTCCCTGGCACTCGAGCAATTGATTAATTTGCTTATAGAAAAATACGACCCCATCGAATTTCAATACCAGGAAATATTCTAGAACTCGAGCATTTCGAGTATTCACATCAGACAGCATCGAGATTGAAATAGTAAAATTTAGAATTGCATTTGTAAACAAATCCCATGGTTTTCATTCTTGTGTATTAGAATGAGTGATTTATTGGTATCAGTAGTTCGTACGTTAATGCAACTGAACTTCGGGATCTCAAGGAGACGCTGAAACGATGAGGGAGATATCGGGTAATATCAATATAATATATGGGATTATCGAGAGGAATAATTATGTTATTCCAGATTTAGAAAGTTGAAAATGGCTGACCGGAGTCCCCTCCTTCTTTTTGCAACAATACTTCGAAACGGCAACAAAAAAAATGTTACCTCAAAGATCTTGGAGGCAAAGAAATTGACTTAAGCTACAGTAGGGCTATAGGTTTTTTTTAACACTAATAACGCGTCAAAACTCATATTTGAAACTCTTAGGCTGCGTTTCAAAGAGTCCACTGCAATGAGTGTATGTGAGTTTACAACGTTGTGTATTCTCTTGCAAGCTCATTTGCTTGGGGTGCAGGTTATGAAGAAATTCGAAACAGAATATGGTAGTTTAACAATATACTCTCAAGAAAACCAATCATCAGCTTCCAGCAGCTTTTACACGTTTAAGTTTAGCGAAAAGTAAAACGTGCTATAGAGGTCCAAAAGAACCCTCAAAACGCAGTATTGTTACAAGTCTTTTTTTCGTAATATGCGACTTACATTCGTAACTTAATACTTGAATATAGATAAGATTTTAAGTTTCAGAATATAGATATAATATAGATAAGAATTTAAGTCATGAAAATTTTAAAAAAAGAGTAATTCACGTCATGAAGATTCCAGTGAGAATAATCCTTATTTGTTAAAAATATACCTAAACAGGATGAAATGGTAAAACTTTTTAATGTAATAATCTTTGTAGTAACGTTTTGCTAAATTGACATGCAAATATCTTTTAGCATGAAAGATGATCCAGTGCTCTGCGATGATACGTGCATTGAAGTCACCCATTCGCGCCACACTAAGTAAGAGGCACTCCCTTATCTCATCTCGGTGACGTATTTACCATGATTCTTCTTCTAGCAGCAGCATCGTTAGTTACTTGATATGGAAGCAGGAAGTGCAAGCAATAAGGCCACGAATGCAATCGTCAGTTCGCAATGCAACCCGCCACGGTCTCCGAGCTTCAAAGAAAATAGGCGACAATGAGAAACCTTACTATGAAAAGAACCCGGAAGAATATCCTGGTAACTTACGCCTGATTAAGTAAATTTCTGATTCAGAGAGGAACCGTTAAAGAGGCTGGATGACGTAACCCTGGAGGCGTAACCGGTCCCCGACCTCAAGGACACACTTTTTGAAGTGGAATTAATGTCATTAACGGAAAAGACTTCTAGTTAAACCATTAAGGTGATTTTGTGAAAGAATCGTTCTCACATATTGTCCAAAAAACAATCATAAATTTTATTTTAAATCAATGTATTCTTCAAATATATTAAAAATAATATAAGTGTGAAAGAAATGTAATCATCAATAATATGTTAATTACTGATCGTACTTTACACAAACGTGAAAAAGTTCAGCATAAGGCTATGTTAAAGAGTAATTGTAATAAACATACTGCCTAGATACGGAGTATGAATTTCAAAATCATGGGAACTTGAAGTCGTCATATCACTCACATTTTGGAAATAAGTGTAATGATGTTGCACTATTAAACTTAAAATGTGATGATCGAATCTTTTGTGTTACTGGAAAGGTAATTTGTTATTATTATCAATAAATTCTCATGTAATACAATTGGTAAAAAACGAAAATTGTCATGATAAAAATGAAGTAAGATTGATCTCACATGATAACAATATTTTGAAAGTTAATGATAAAAAAGAAAATAAGTAACAGAAAGTCGACAAAAAGAATCACGGAATCCCAGGGAACATTTCAAACTCCATTCTTTAAAGACTATCAGGCTTGGGGTAGATCAGTATATTAATACTGTGATTAAATGTTTCCCTAAATAAGGGGAAGAATAAAGTCAGATTCAAATACAGACAAAAAATAGTTTGCGTTGTACAGCACAGAAAAAATCATTCAATAATATAAAAAAAATTAAGTTATACCTTGTGGTTTCAGTGTAAAATTTCTTCGTATCTTCATATGAATATTTTCCTTGCAAATTAAATTATTCCAATTTATCAGTAGAGTAAAAGATTTATATAGAGTAAAGCCGGTTTGGAGTTATCATTATCATAACGGAAATGTGAATTAAGCGTCATATTCACATGAATAAATAGCAACATTGAAATCCCAATAATAAATTATTGAAAAGCCTATCAATACAACATATTCTGGAACTACGAAGAAATGGAAAAAAACAAAAGTCATTTGCCTTGAGAAAAGAACGGGAAAATAATTCAATTAAATCAAACGTCATAATGCAATCTTGGTAGGAGTTTTCAAGCTCTTCAGGAGATCAGGTTTTAACTTCAAAACAGTTTTTTTTTCTTCGCCCAAAAGAAATGTCTTCTGCGATAAATGTACATTAAACTCCCACCAAAAAGTAATTTTTGACATTTTATTTCCTTATCTTTTGTGTGGCCTTTTGTGCGACTATTTCTGACTTAACAAACACCGAGTGTTCCCTTCCAAACAATTTGTTGCTTTTTTTCAGTTAAAGATCCAGTAGTTCATGGGAATGAAATGTTCTTCATATGATAAGGATATTAGTGCTATTTAAGCGATTAACACATCACATTCTAGTTTATATGCAATGACATTTATGGATTTTTCCTTGTCAAATACTGTATGCTTGGAAGTGAATTTCGTGCAACATTTAAACGATTTTAAGAATCTTGGAAAATAAGAAAACATTATGTAATTATATAATAAACTTACTTTCCCGGAAAGGCACTTCCGGAGAAAAACAGAACTCATTACATGTGAGGCACGAGTGTTTCGTGAAATCATTCTGAGGATGAAGGTCTCTTCTGACACGACTTTAGAAAAACGTTCTTCTACTGTCCGCCTCCCCAATCAAAAGTACTACATTTCCTGTCTTGCGATTAACTCACATTCCATTTCAACTGCGTTCTTCAAAATGTATGATGTTCATAAAAGTAAGAGTTGTTACTCGTAAAACATCATTCAATAATATTTTACAGAAACTTATCATACTTTCAGAAATGTTTGAAGCGTCGGAGTTGCCATACAAAGCTAGTAATTTGTAAATATAGGTCTTGATGAACGAAGAACTAAACGATCTATTTTCAGTTTTGGACTCATAGAGATTGCCCAATATTAATAATACGTTAACAATCAAGATCAAACAAGTTTTTACCAAAGGTCAAAGCCAATTCATTTTCTCTTAGAAAATGAATGAATACTATATATGGAATGAAGGGATTTAATAAATAGTGTCCATATAAGTACGCTAATTAAAATAGCTCACAAGTCTAAATACACGGCTAAATCAATCGGCCTTGACTCTTATGTGTGTTGTTTCTTTATTGAACGATAATATTATGGTACATTATTCTCCGCCCGCACTCGTAGCGTAGTGAGGAGCTCGTTATCTACACGAGTTCAAATTTCTGCCATTCCAAGTGGAATTTGGTCTGTCAAAAAGGTTTTCAACTAGGATTTATCCGGAATTCCCATTTCAACTCATTCATTTCAAGGTTGTACCATTATCATTTTTATAATGCCAACGTCATCTATACATGAAATAATTTTCTTACGCCAAGGTATGGTCTCTGGCTCCAGAAGTCATAGTGCCGTCCTCATTTGTGGGTGTAGACGGGAGAGGAGACTAACACCTGTTTTTCTTTTCTCTGGCCAGTAAATCGCAGATTGTCTTTGTCTTCCTCTGCATTTGAAGGATGTGAGGATCGTTAGGTGATAACCGTTAAATGGTGATAGGGGAGGAAACTACCACTCATCCATGCATCAGCTTTCCAACTTTAGCCATCATTCCTTGGGTTTCCGGGTGGCGCAGGGGGATGATATACGAGACATGTAAACGTTATATCTGGATTGCGACAGTAAATTGGCCTTATCTCTCCACCGGAAGCTGTGTGTTATCCTTTTCCCTGGCCAGTGAATTGCAGATTACTTTTGTCTTCCTCTCCATTTAAAGGATATGAGGATCGTTAGGGGATAACCGTTAAATCGTGATAAGGGAAGAAACTCCCACCCATAGTGCATCACCTTTCCAACTTTAGCCATCATTCTGGTCTTTCCAGGGGGCTCAGGAGCAGGATATATGAGGCATGTAAACGTGCCAGAACAGCGTAATTAATTTTGCCCTATCTCTCCACCGGAAACTGTGACCCGTGTCACCAGATTGCGCTCGGTATGGACCTCCGGGCTACAGCTGGCTCTACGTGGGTGAAGCTGTGTATCCCCATGCCGCCTTCTTTGCTAATATTGGAGCAAACCGGTCTATATCGATTGATAGGAGATAATTTGATAACTATGAAGGTGGCAATATCTGGGCGGGCGCAGATTCAGCGGGCTGGGGCATCAATTAACACAGACAACTGACAGGAGA